TACCCCAGCAACATGCCAGGCTGACATAACTGACAGTGTACCCCAGCAACATGCCAGGCTGACATAACTGACAGTGTACCCCAGCAACATGCCAGGCTGACATAACTGACAGTGTACCCCAGCAACATGCCAGGCTGACATAACTGACAGTGTACCCCCAGCAACATGCCAGGCTGACATAACTGACAGTGTACCCCAGCAACATGCCAGGCTGACATAACTGACAGTGTACCCCAGCAACATGCCAGGCTGACATAACTGACAGTGTACCCCAGCAACATGCCAGGCTGACATAACTGACAGTGTACCCCAGCAACATGCCAGGCTGACATAACTGACAGTGTACCCCCAGCAACATGCCAGGCTGACATAACTGACAGTGTACCCCAGCAACATGCCAGGCTGACATAACTGACAGTGTACCCCAGCAACCCAGGCTGACATAACTGACATACCCCAGCAACATGCCAGGCTGACATAACTGACAGTGTACCCCAGCAACATGCCAGGCTGACATAACTGACAGTGTACCCCAGCAACATGCCAGACTGACATAACTGACAGTGTACCCCCAGCAACATGCCAGGCTGACATAACTGACAGTGTACCCCCAGCAACATGCCAGGCTGACATAACTGACAGTGTACCCCAGCAACATGCCAGGCTGACATAACTGACAGTGTACCCCAGCAACATGCCAGGCTGACATAACTGACAGTGTACCCCAGCAACATGCCAGGCTGACATAACTGACAGTGTACCCCAGCAACATGCCAGGCTGACATAACTGACAGTGTACCCCCAGCAACATGCCAGGCTGACATAACTGACAGTGTACCCCAGCAACATGCCAGGCTGACATAACTGACAGTGTACCCCAGCAACATGCCAGGCTGACATAACTGACAGTGTACCCCCAGCAACATGCCAGGCTGACATAACTGACAGTGTACCCCAGCAACATGTCAGGCTGACATAACTGACAGTGTACCCCCAGCAACATGCCAGGCTGACATAACTGACAGTGTACCCCAGCAACATGCCAGGCTGACATAACTGACAGTGTACCCCAGCAACATGCCAGGCTGACATAACTGACAGTGTACCCCAGCAACATGCCAGGCTGACATAACTGACAGTGTACCCCAGCAACATGCCAGGCTGACATAACTGACAGTGTACCCCCCATGCAACATGCCAGTCAGGCTGACATAACTGACAGTGTACCCCAGCAACATGCCAGGCTGACATAACTGACAGTGTACCCCAGCAACATGCCAGGCTGACATAACTGACAGTGTACCCCAGCAACATGCCAGGCTGACATAACTGACAGTGTACCCCAGCAACATGCCAGGCTGACATAACTGACAGTGTACCCCAGCAACATGCCAGGCTGACGGCTGACATAATAGGGGGCCCCCTCCGCGCACCACTATTAATCCCGGACTTGGAGAAGACACCAAGAAAGCGGTAATTACCAAAGTTATAATAGAGGCCTTCCCCCAGCCCCAGCTGGGCCCCCGCGCCTTAATTATTAAACCCACTCCCGCCCTTTTACTCCAATAAGCCTCCTCCACTCCTGTTTTGGCCAGTTTCTTTACTGAACTTCGGTAGATTTTTTGCCTTGACTATTTTGTGGTCGGTGTTCTGTATTGTGTCGTTGTTGGTGTGTCTCCTGTGTGGGTTATGTCGTTGTTGGTGTGTCTCCTGTGTGGGTTATGTCGTTGTTGGTGTGTCTCCTGTGTGGGTTATGTCGTTGTTGGTGTGTCTCCTGTGTGGGTTATGTCGTTGTTGGTGTGTCTCCTGTGTGGGTTATGTCGTTGTTGGTGTGTCTCCTGTGTGGGTTATGTCGTTGTTGGTGTGTCTCCTGTGTGGGTTATGTCGTTGTTGGTGTGTCTCCTGTGTGGGTTGTGTCGTTGTTGGTGTGTCTCCTGTGTGGGTTATGTCGTTGTTGGTGTGTCTCCTGTGTGGGTTATGTCGTTGTTGGTGTGTCTCCTGTGTGGGTTATGTCGTTGTTGGTGTGTCTCCTGTGTGGGTTATGTCGTTGTTGGTGTGTCTCCTGTGTGGGTTATGTCGTTGTTGGTGTGTCTCCTGTGTGGGTTATGTCGTTGTGTTGTATTTGTTGTTGTAGATTCAGCTACTCGGAACAAGTTCCAAGTAGCACGGGCTATGGTGAGCCCGTAACTTACCTGGCACAGGAGCGGGGCAAGTAGCACGGGCTATGGTGAGCCCGTAACTTACCTGGCACAGGAGCGGGGCAAGTAGCACGGGCTATGGTGAGCCCGTAGTGGACTTACCTGGCACAGGAGCGGGGCAAGTAGCACGGGCTATGGTGAGCCCGTAACTTACCTGGCACAGGAGCGGGGCAAGTAGCACGGGCTATGGTGAGCCCGTAGTGGACTTACCTGGCACAGGTCGTTGTGTTGTACCTCTAAAATGATTATTATATGATTGACTGATGGAGATTATGCCACCCAAGAGGTGGTACGGGCATGAATAACCCGTAAGTGGTAGAATTTTTTTTAGTAAATGTATACTGTGTGCTGAGGTCGTATTTAATCGTCAGGCTGTTATCGTGGGGGGAGGGATACTGCTTGACAGTGTTTATGAGGGTCTCCAGCTGCTGGACACCTTTTTTGACCTGAAGAGTGGCTGTGTTGATGGGAGGTTAGCGACCTGAGGATTGCCGTCCGGGCCGCAGTTCGCTCTCTCAAGTAAGTGACCTCAGCATTAAAATTTCATGTGTGTCCAGGAGTATTCCTAGATACTGATAAGTGTCCACCCAATCAGTTGGTTGATCCTGTACTTTGACTTGGTTGTTGGGCTTCACTGTTTTTATAGGCATGGCTTTCGTCTTGGTGGGGTTGAGTTTGATACCAATCTGCTTTACCTCTTCACTGATGCAGTAATTACCTAAGTGTAATTACCTAAGTGTAGTTACAGGATGAGAGCTACGCTCGTGGTGTCCCGTCTTCCCAGCAGGCTAAGCATTTGGGTGCAAGGCGCGCCGCATCCCTTCCTTGTAAGATGATAACGGAGATTATATCATCTCATGTCCATTACATGGTCAAATATTAATTCTCAAGTGCAATATATGGACAGGTGTTAATGTCTCTGTTAACGTATGTAAATAAATTCCTCGCTTGCCTTACTTTTATGTTAAAGCCAAACAATATATCCAGTTGTTGTTCTAAAAGTCAGCCAGAATTGTACGAGATTCTACTGTTAAACTAAATAAAGTAGGAGTAAAAACTAAGTCTTGCTATGCTATAAAAGGATATTTTCAAGCGCAAGTTATTGAGGTTAAGGTTATGTGACGGCAGAAAATTTTTATGAGTCAAGCAGTAAGGGATTTTTTTTTATGAATTTAAAGGTTTTAAGGGATCTTCGTCACCTGGAAAGGGGGTCCTATATACCCGAGGGTGAGTGTATACAGTGGTACAAGGGGTCCTATACACCAGTAACTGACTGTATGTAAATATTGTCTGGACATTTACAAAGACTGTATGTAAATGACACTGGTAAATTGAACTAGGGGGTCCTATTTACCAGTGCCAGGTTATATATAGTGAGACAGTGGGTCCTCTTTTTTTATGTGGCTGACTGCATATAACTGTACTTGACTACAGTTTATCGGTGACGGATAGTATATAGATAGACAGAGGTCCAGTTTTTTCGTGGCTGAGTTTATGTATAACAGAATTCTGGGTCCAATTTTTTGGTGGCTGAGTTTATGTATAACAGAATTCTGGGTCCAGTTTCTCGGTAGCTGACTGGATATAACTGGACCGGGATCCTGGTTACCGATGGGTGAGTGCATGTAGCAAAACCGGAGTCCCGTTTACTGTAGATAGCGAGATTGGGGTCCTGTTTAGCAGTGGCTGACTGTGTATAGTTGAACTGGGCGCCCGTTTACTGTACCTACATCAAATCTTTATGCGCTATTAAAAATCTATTTCAAGGTAACGAAATGATAACGAACTCTGGCGATAACTAAACAATAACGATCTCTGGCGATAACGTAATAACAAACCACTGGCTATAACGAACGAAATGTCACAAAAAACATTTCAGATGCGTCAGCCAGTTGGGAAAAACAGGTATTTAATATTGAATCAGTGGGAACGTGAGCGAAAACTAATGGAAGCGAACGAAAGAGTTCCAGTGAGCATACGTAAAAGTCTGACTTCACATTTTGTCATGCTCTTATTGCAGTATGTGTCCGGAGCATGTGTTGTAGTATGGGTCCTGAGCATGTGTGGCTGTATGTGTCCGGAGCATGTGTGGCTGTATGTGTCCGGAGCATGTGTGGCTGTATGTGTCCGGAGCATATATTGCAGCATGTGTCTGGAAGAGGACCTATGAGCTAGAGAACTCGTGTGGGCATAGTCAGTCGTTAGCCAATGGGAGCCCCAGATAACCTTAATAGGCCTGTTAGGCGGGCCGAGGATTCCCCCCCCCGTACCCCCCTTCCTCCCCTCATCAGGCCATTGCCTGAGCTTGCCCAGGATGCTTCCCACAACAGTTTCCTATTTCCTGCGTGCACAGGCTACTGCCAAAAGAACAGATGCATCAGGTGAAAGGAAACGTAGCCAATCATTTCTGTCCTGCCCGGAGATTGAACCCGGGTTGTGAGTTGTGGACGTAGACCACTGTGCTACCGTCCCAGGCTCTAATAAGAATGGTAATGAATCAGAGAAGAATATATAATCCACGGTTAGGATTCAACAAGGATTTACGAAACCTGTAGATCGTTTTCTCGATTTCTTTGCATTAATTAAACAGTTTGATAATTCTGAAGTGCTAGGAGCCGGTTCATTACAATAATTACCCTCGGATTGAACATTTGGGCTACTGGTAAGCAGTTTAATAAATAATGACTGACAATAATCGAGGAAAGATGTAGAGGTTCCGTAAGTAATTACGTAACTGCCTGGTGTAGCTCTCTTGTTTTCTGCTTAATATAACACCGCTGTAAATATTGCCTAACCGTTCTGATGGTGTTTTTGTTGGGCGAGGGCGATTATCTTCAGAGTTCAGGCCACGCCGCTAATTTTCTCCTTAACAAGTCCTTATTTTTCTGCCTCTTGGCAATTACTTCATTCCCAGCCTCGCTCTTGCCAGACCCGCCCTCGCCAGACCCGCCCCGCCCTCGCCAGACCCGCCCCGCCCTCGCCAGACCCGCCCCGCCCTCGCCAGACCCGCCCCGCCCTCACCAGACCCGCCCCGCCCTCACCAGACCCGCCCCGCCCTCACCAGACCCGCCTCGCCCTCACCGACCCGCCTCGCCCTCGCCAGACCCGCCCCGCCCTCACCAGACCCGCCCCGCCCTCACCAGACCCGCCCCGCCCTCACCAGACCCGCCCCGCCCTCGCCAGACCCGACCCGCCCTCGCCAGACCCGTCCCGCCCTCACCAGACCCGCCCCGCCCTCGCCAGACCCGCCCCGCCCTCGCCAGACCTGCCCCGCCCTCACCAGACCTGCCCCGCCCTCACCAGACCCGACCCGCCCTCGCCAGACCCGCCCCGCCCTCGCCAGACCTGCCCCGCCCTCACCAGACCTGCCCCGCCCTCACCAGACCCGACCCGCCCTCGCCAGACCCGCCCCGCCCTCGCCAGACCCGCCCCGCCCTCGCCAGACCCGCCCCGCCCTCGCCAGACCCGCCCCGCCCTCGCCAGCCCCGCCCTCGCAAAGTGTTGCCATTCACGCAGGTTCAGCCGTCTTGTACCCCCAGAAATGTTTCGCAGCCGTAGACTTGGTAACATATACTATGGTGAGAAACACTCGGGGTATAACCTTGACAGTTTTGAGTGGCTCACCGGAAACACCCGCGCACCGCCAGTGATTTGGTCTGGTTTCGAATCCTGGCCAGGGAGGATTGACTGGGCACTTAAGTGTTCGCACACTAGACACTATAGATGACAATTACGTGGCTGGTTGGTAGTTAGAGGCCCAACCCACACCTGTCATAGTCGAGGCATTGATGACATCTCGGTCCGTGGTGGAGTGTCTAGTGTAGTGGAAAAATATTTTTTGATTGATGAAGATTAAGCTACTCAAGAGGTGGCACGGGCATGAATAACCCGTAAGTGGTAGAATTTTTTTGGGGGGGAGTTAATGTATACTGTGTGATGAGGTTTGTACGGTGAGGCTGCTGTGTTGGTGGATATAAATGTGTTATAGTATAGAGTTAAAGGGGGAGGATCCTGGTGGTTACGAGAGCGTCCAGCTGCTGGGAGGTGAAGGGCCAGATGGTTGAAGAACAGCAGGAGGCTCAGACTTACACCAAACGGTACAAGTATGGGAATAAGGTCAGGTATAAGAAAGGGGGGTTGAGGTATGGGAATGTATGGGAATAAGGAAGGAAGAAGTAAGGGAATAAGGTAAAAATATAGATAAAGAGAAGTAGAGGTAAAGAAATAAAGTGTGGCTGCATGAAGCGAGCCCGTCGCTCTACCGTCCAGTCCGAGATACAAATACACTGAGTAGTGTATACTCCGCTTTTCTGTGTTAATACATTGAGAGTTTACTTTTGTCGTGGACTTTGTATAGGACTAAGGTATACTTACTGGTGGGTCAATAAGGTGTTGTGGTGGCCTTAATAACCCTATAAATGGCTTTAGGCCTACACTCGCGCCTCTAGAGTGCCTCCTACAACACCTACTCCAACCTCAAGTCTGAGTCCTTCCCTGAGGTTAAAAGCTTCATCAGAAAGTCTTGCTTTAAGTGTTGATATCAGCAGCTAAATTAACACTACCTGGCCGAAATGTTTACTAATACCAAGATGATTTATAAGGGCGGAAATACTCCACCTCCGGAGCTCACTAGATGCGAGTGAACGTTCAGAGGAACAACAGATAACTCGGTGTTCACTTCCAGTGCTCGAGAACAGGAAACAAAAAGAGAGGGAGGGAAAAAGAGTAGCTTAATTACGGACTTCAGAGTTGACTTTTCTCCCGAGGAAGAAAAGTTTTGATAGGATTTTTTCCTCAGTCTAAAGAAAATATTACTAGCTATTAACTAGGGAACTTTTATTGTGTACCTAGGAACTGCTATTTCGTTCAAGGGTACTGTTATCGTGCCCTTGGGTACTCTTTATACAATATACAGTACTCTAAACTCTTTATTGTATTGGTTGGGATACCAGCTTATTAAAAATTACAAAAATATGAAAATATATATTTTTTTATGGTTAGGTCAGGACCAACTTTTCTAAAAGCCAGAGTCATTATAGAAGCTTTGAGAGGGTTTTAGGGAGGGATTAAAAGAGATCAAATCCTACTCTGTAAAGATCACAGATACCCCGGAGGAGGTTCCAGGCTGCCATAGTAGTGGCAAATTTGTTTTTTAATAAAAAGATCAAGTTCCTGGGTATAAGGGTGTCGTTTACTTTACTGGTGAAACAAATGAACACGAACTGAGCGCATTTTGTGAGAGCTACTGTGACGCCGCTGCCTTTAATTCGTTGTAACGGAGACAGGCAGCCTGGAAATATATTATCGGGGAAGATATTGACCCGGAGGACAACGCTCCCGGAAGATATTGACCCGGAGGACAACGCTCCCGGAAGATATTGACCCGGAGGACAACGCTCCCGGAAGATATTGACCCGGAGGACAACGCTCCCGGAAGATATTGACCCGGAGGACAACGCTCCCGGAAGATATTGACCCGGAGGACAACGCTCCCGGAAGATATTGACCCGGAGGACAATGCTCCAGGAAGATATTGACCCGGAGGACAATGCTCCAGGAAGATATTGACCCGGAGGACAACGCTCCAGGAAGATATTGACCCGGAGGACAACGCTCCAGGAAGATATTGACCCGGAGGACAACGCTCGTTAAACATTTGAGTTGAAAATCTTATTTTTGTTTCATATATAAATTATTATTACACTGTTTTCGTGTATAGTTAAGCCTAGAGTAAAGTGTTATATTTTGTTGGCAATTATTTGTACTTGCTAAAGCGATGGATAATAAGGGTAATTAATAGAAAACGAAAGTAATATAAGAGAAAACGGAAGTAATGTAAGGGGATACTGAATTAATATTAGAGAAAGCGGTAGTAGTGCAAAGGGGAAATTTAGAGTAGCAAAAAGAGAGAATGAGAGCGGGATAAAAGGAAGAATGAACCAGTGTGGGTGATGGAATGAAGTGATGGAAAAGTTCTAGACCGCTGTGAATGATGAAAGTAAAAAATTAACATCAAATGTAAAGCAATCCTTACCTATTTGGATACAAATAGGCCTATTGCCTTGGGCCAATAGGCCTTCTGCCTTTCCCTAAAAAGCTTATATTTCCCGCGTCGTCACTAACACTGACACAGCGTGTAGCTGAGGTAGAAGAACAGTTAAACATCTCAACGATTTAGTGTATAAAATGTTGGAGAATGTTGTGGTGCTCTTCCCCAGCGACACATCGTCCCACTAACATGGGTCACACAGCAAGGAAGACGAAGCCCAACAGTCACATCAATAATACATCATACATCAGTTATACATCATACATCAGTTATACATCATACATCAGTTATACATCAGTTGTGGACTGTTGTAGGAGCGGGTTATGTGTGTGTGTGTGTGTGTGTTAGACACACTCTCCAACCGTCCGAGTGGTTGGGCACCATTCCTTCCCCCCGTCCCATCCCAAATCCTTATCCTAACCCCTTCCCAGTGCTGTACAGTTGCAATGGCTTTGGGATGCAGCCCCCCAGAAACTGTCAAACTCCCAGATACTATTTACTGCTAGATGAACAGGGGCCATGAGGGAAGAGGAAATGCTACCAATTTGCTCTCTCTCTCTCTCTCTCTCTCTCTCTCTCTCTCTCTCTCTCTCTCTCTCTCTCTCTCTCTCTCTCTCTCTCTCTCTCTCTCTCTCTCCTCTCCACCTGAGGTCAGTGGTGATCCACACGTCCCTCTCCCGTCTGTTGCTATTTGCCAAGCTTTATGGTGTCGTTCATCATATGTATAGGATTTGTGGGCGGCCATTTTCCCGCCCCTTGCCCCCCGGGAAGCTGTTTGTTCAGCTTACTCCGCCTCCTGCTTTTTGTTCCATGGATATATCCATGCTCGAATTGTGTACACTCTTTTGGTATCGGTAGTTAAGGTACTTGTCTAGGGAGGCTTGTGGCTTTAGCTTCCAAGTCCCGATTTTGTCCGTCACTGGGACTGACTTGGAGACCGATCGCTTCGATTTTTGCAAGTTGGTACTCGATCCCTGAAGGTTCAAGTGTTTGGGAGTCGTAATTCTTGCTCCCCGTGCTTATATCCGATCTCCTTGTGCTCATATCCCAGCTCCTTGTCCTCATATCCCAGATTCTTGGGCTCATATCCCAGTTCCTTGTGCTCATATCCCAGCTCCTTGTCCTCATATCCCAGCTTCTTGGGCTCATATCCCAGCTCCTTGTGCTCATATCCCAGCTCCTTGTCCTCATATCCCAGTTCCTTGTCCTCATATTTCAGCTCCTTGTCCTCATATCCAGTCTCTATTATGATACCAGAGTCTATTATAATCCTATTCTGTGTGAAGCAAGTCCTGAGTGATCCAGTCCTGAGTGATACACTCCTGAGTAATCGAGTGCTGAGTAATTCAGGGAGTTTTGACACGATTAATAATGTAGATAAAACAAATGATTTCAACTAACGTAACAGATCGACAAACAACGATATATATATATATATATATATATATATATATATATATATATATATATATATATATATATATATATATATATATAATATAAGACTTTGCCATACCTTAAAACTTCCCTTGCCCTAAAATCACCTATCAAAAAATAGGAAAAAGCTTCGCTGGTGTAATATTTTTTTTTATTTTTTTTATTATCCTTTTGAAGTAAATCTTTTTTTTCACGTACAGGAGATTAAGTAATTAATATGCAGCGCTTCAGATGCGAAGCCTAACAAAAATGATGGGACGTCGATGAGTAACTTTTAAAAACCGGCTTCACTGCACATTTTAAGCTCAACTATCAAGTTATAATGAATAAACTTGTCGGAAAAGTTGTGAATCAGCTCCAGGAATAGAGACATTAAAAAAAAACATGCTGGTGTAAATGTGTTAATAATTAATCTCAGACACCCGGGGTATGTGTAGTGAGGATCTTCAACAGTTCAGGGGCCAGATTCACGAAGCAGTTACGTAAACACTTACGAACCTGTACATCTTGTCTCACCATCTTGGAGATCTACCTGTGAAGAATGTTAGCCCCACACACACTTACCATCGCCTCTTGAACTGGGGCCAGATTCACGAAGCAGTTACGTAAACACTTACGAACCTGTACATCTTTACTCAATCTTTGGCGGCTTTGTTTACATTTATTAAACAGTTAATGAGCTCCGAAGCACCAGGAGGCTGTTAATGACAATACCAACAGTTGATTGGGAAGTTTTCATGCTTGTAAACTGTTTAATAAATGTAACCAAAGCTGTCAAAGATTGAGGAAAGATGTACACGCTCGTAAGTACTTGCATAACTGCTTCGTGAATCTGGCCCCAATTCAGGAGGCGATGGTAAGTGTGTGTGAGGCTAACTTTCTTCACAGGTAGATCTCCAAGATGGTAAAAGTCACTTTACAAGTTTTTTTAAGAGCCTTCTAATTGTTAAAAAGTGTATATTATATAATTAGCAAGTTTGGGTTGACGAAGAGCTGGGAGCGAAGACACTACTCAACTCTCTAAAGAGGTTCCATTTTTGGGATTGATTCACCCACGTGTAGCAGGATTGAG